TGATTAAGAAGACCGCAATCTTTAACCAACAAGCGGGCACTCCACGTGAACTTATTTAAGTCGTCCAGCATATTCTGAAACTGGCTCGACCTAGGACGAGGGTTGTTTTGATTGACCTGAGGTAAGCCAGATATTGGAGTAAGGGTATTGACCGGGAGCAGAACGGATGTAAAAGTACTTGGTCTTCCACTCGGTTACATTTGAGGAAAGATCCTCGAGGAAGGAAACACTGGGACGACGACCCAGACAACGGGCGTCTTTTATGAAGCGATAACTATAACAATACAAGAGAAACTCGGGCAAGAATTGGCCAAACTTTATCTTACAAATTATGATGAAAGCCACCATAATGCGAATGGCGTTAGGAGAAAATTTATTTATGGGTACACTGTACATGTCGCTAATCGATAAAAGCTCGGGTTGAACAGGGAACCGCAAGCCAAACATTATTTGGTCGACGAAGAAAGTGAAGCAGCCCTTAGGAGGGTGAGTAAAAACGTCGTTGGGGCCAGGGGGAACCAACTCCCAGTCAGAAGGTAGACCGCTGAACGACCTAAATCCCTCGATTTGGGCTGCAGAGGCATAAGAAAATGGATTTAGAACAGCTAACTTGGCTAGAGGACAAGCTATGGTTACATCTCGAGACTTAAGGAAGAAAGGCGTTATTGACAAAGAAATAGGGCTCGTTCTATATACCGGAATATCTAAGAGCCTAAGAGGGATACCTTGGGGAAGGAGGTTTAGTCAAGGAGAGTCGCTACCTCGATTAGGATCGTCTTTATTTTGCATCAACTCGCCCGACAGAAGTGCTTGGGTATATACGTTGTGGTCTATTCCAAACATCGAGGTGGATGAACCCTGTGACCTCTCTTGCTCGACTGCAGGCTTAGAGCCAATTATTTTGACAGAATCGGAGCTTGAGTATTCCTCTATTTGGCGGATGAGAGAGCCAGGAATAGAGCCAGAAATGGAGTCGGACCCAGAATCTATGAAAAAGAGTCGAGAAACGAAGATCAGCATAAAAGTGAAAGAAGGCGATAGAGTGCGTCGGTTTGTGAAGGCTTCTAGCCATAAAGTCGACCTTAGGGGAAACCGATTGGGCCAGAAGGATGGTGAAAAAGAAAAAGGCCCGAGCCCGACATGGACTCGTCAGAAGATGAGGGTCGATAGAAAAGAAGGAACAGGAAATACCCAGATCGACAAAGGTCGACCCGCGAAGAAGAAAAAGTTGACTACGCCTCGCAAAGTCGACTTTCTCGTAAACATAATCTTAAATTGGAAAAAAGCACATTTTAAGATCTAGCACTAATATGCCCAGAATCATTCGAAAATCCTCAAGAACACGAAGAACATACATAGAACTCCAAAATCAAAAACCCAGAAAATGGGCATAAAAATCTTTCAGAAATAGAGGTTAAAGGAAACTTACACATATTGACTGGAGTAAGAAGTTTCGAAAGCGCCGGAGAAATAGCCGGAAGGAGGTGCACGCTGAAATCGCTGGATGCTTTTGTTGGTGTTATATACTTAAGCTTTGCTTTAGTGGATATTACACTTGTTAT